TTCTCCTTCCCAGGCCGGTACTCCGAGCCCACTGGGTGCCCGTCCCTGCTGTGCTCACTCCTGGACGCTGCGCAGAGAACTGCAGCCCAGGGCTGGCACTGAGCCAGAGAGAACCGCAGAGGTGAGGCGCGTGGCCCACAGGTCGGGCGAAAGCAGCCTTTTTTAACTTAGGAGACTGACAAACTCACAAAGAATGTGTCGTCCGAGAGACAGACCCCAGCCTCCCTGTATCTCCACGGGGACATCCAAAGAGACGCATGTTTGCAAACGGCCACCTCGCCCACCTGCTGCGCTGTCCCTGCGGTTTCCCGGAAAGTGCCGAGGGTTCGTTAGCCATCCTCTGACCCGGCAAAACCTCTCTGCTCGGGCTGGTCACCGTCCCTTTGACGCCGGCGGAAGGCACGGGTGGTCCGGGGCTGGAAGCCCCCCGAGGAGGGCTGGCACGCAGCTCAACCACATCACTCACGCGGGCGCCCCCGGCTGCAGGTGAGACCCTTGGCACTTCCAGACTGACCCCGCAGGCCGGCCCCTCTGGCTCCGGGAAGCTCAGAGCGCCCCGTAGTCCTGCCGAGCACCTGCTCGGCTCCGGGGGCCACTCAGGGCCCTGGATGGAGCCGCCGTCCCTCCCTCACAGGAGACGAACGATCCACACAGATCCACGCTGGGGGGTCAGGTGAGGCATGAGTCCAGGGGTGCCCCCCAAACCTGCGTGTTTAAGTCTCATCTTCATGCATCTGGGCTGCTGTTCCACGACACCACAGACTGGGGGGCGTGTGAATAACAGAGAAGTATTTCGCACCCTTCTGGAGATGCGGCGCCCGGTGAGAGTCTGTCGTCAGCCTTCTCCTCGCCGAGTGCGCGCACGGGGCCGGGGAGCCCGCAGGGGTCTCAGAAGGCCACTCACTCACCCAGCCCATGAGGGCTCTGACCTCCCAAAGGCCCCACCTCCTAAAGCCATCACATCGGGATCAGGGTTCACATACTAATTTGGGGGGTTTGGGGGGAGCACCAACATTCAGTCTCTACTGAGTCCCGACCCCCAGGACCTCAGAGTGTGACCTCACTGGGAGATGCTACGCCTTCAAAGGCACACTCAAGGCACAGTGAGGGCATCAGGACGGACCCTGACCTCTCATGACCGGTGCATACCTAACCCAGGGAAACTCGACACAGACACAGACACAGACACACACACACACACACACACACGGAGGGACCATGGGACGAGTGACGGGAGTGGACGGCCACCTACAAGCCAAGGAGAGGGGCCTCGGACAGGCCTGCCCGCTCCCCCAGCCTCAGAAGAAACCAGCCCCGCCGACACCTTGACGTTGAACTTCCAGCCCCCAGCCGGCCCTGGGAGACGGTGCATCTCTGCAGTTTAAGACACCTAGTCTGCGGTACTTTGTTAAGCAGCCTCAGCAAACAAATCCAGGTGGTCAGGGGCACTTCGAGGAAAGATAAAACTGGGTGAAGGTGCAGAGAGGGACGGGGACGTGTTAGAGACGGTCACCAGAGCGAGGCATGTTGACCCCAGATTCTGAGCAGCAGGGCCCAGGCCGTCCCTCCCCCGAGACCAAAGGCCCTGGGGCAGATGAAACCCCCATGGGCCCTGAGGCACATCTGATCCAGGTGCTTACGCTGTGTGCCTTTTATGTCCAAGGTAAGGGTGGCCCTTGCTCCTTAACAGGTTTCCATTTCCCCCCACACCTGACCCTTTTTTCTTCTCTTAACCCCCCACCACAAACTGAATCTGTTGGCTTTCCGTGAACAGATGCCGGGACCCGCATCTGGGATTCAGAGCCCTCCCAGCGACGGCCAACATTTTGCCATCAACCCTCAACACCCACTCTGGCCCCGCATGGGTGACTCACGCGTGGCGGGGCAGGGAGCAGCCGTCCAGGGACCCCAGTCCAAGGCCATGGTGTGGCCTGGGCCAGCCCGCCTCGCCTGGGCGTATTCTGCAATACGCTCACAGGCGCTGACACCCACGGTGACGTGCCCCCGCCCCCCAGTGACGCACAAACCTCCAGTGGCCAGTGCAGGGGATGGGCGGGCTCAAAGCAGTGGCTCTGAATGTCTGGGGGGTACAGAACTCCTCTCAGAACCTGATGGAAGCCATGAACCCTCTCCCCAGAAATGCAACCACAAGCCTGCAGCGCACTGGGGATCGTGGCCCTGGAAGCCCCCTGCGGTCCCTCTCTCATTAGAGGGATCAGGGACATGACCCCGTGCCGGCGAGAATCACCAAGAAACAAAGAGAAAGAAGAAGCAGGGAGCGGGGTGGCGGAGGAGGCTGCAAGGGGCACGGCTGAAAGATGCAAAAAGTGTCTTTAAATCAATAAGGAAAAGGCCAAACGCCCAAGGGGAACATGGCGAGCGGACGCGAACGACAACAGAAGTGACCCCCACGTTGCTGCCGCAGGCAGGAAAACCCGCCCCCCTGGTCCGCAAACAGGAGCAACTGCGCACGAAACGAGGCCCAGCCTTTGCTCGCCCAGGCGACCACAGCTCAGAGGGCTGGCAAACACCCCAAGTGGGCGGAGGCGTGGAAGGTGGCCCCACCAGGCCGGTGGGGGCCACCAGGGAGACTAACCCTCCAGGGATGCTGGGTTAACCTGCCCAGGGCTGCTCCCCGGCAGCTGAAAAGGGGAGACCCCTCCCCGCAAGGCCAGGAGCTTGCCCCTCGGCTACACCGGAAACTTCCAAAGTGACAAACAGGTGCAGATATTCACTGAAGTGCAATTTGGATGCCACCAAAATGGCACGTCACCCCCGTGTCCGTTCTTCGACCGTCCCCAGCTCTTGAAGCAACGGCTGACGACTTACAGGACGAGGATGGTTGCTGAGGACCCTCCATCCAGGGAGTGCTGGGCGGTCACTGACGGGAACCCACAGTGGTTTTGGGAAGGACGTTCGGGGGTAATGCCGGGGGGAAGTGGGACACTGAACAGCACGTCCAGTGGGAAGTACATCCTCTACACCTGGGATTTACACACGTGGACAGACGTGCGCTGGCCTGTGCAGGCCGGCCGAGGGGGGGCCGGCAGGGCCTGAGCCCCGAGAGTGAAAGGCGAGTTCTCTCGCTACATCCTCCTTGACCCTCTGAATTTCCACCCAGGTGTCGGTATGAACCACACCAACACGAGCCAAATGGATCTTAAAATCCCACAAAAGCGATGAAAACACAAACAGAACCCAGTCACTGGCAGTAACCTCACTAGGTGGGACAGAGTGGGCACAGTGGCGGTGGCAAGAGAGTGCCGGCGGTGGCTCAGACCCGAACCTCGCACCCCTTCACAGCTTTCCCAGGAGGGGGGAGGCAGGGCCTCTACCCGGCAAGCAGCGCTGTCTCTCGGCGGGCACACTGGTCGACCAGCTGGCCAAACTCGGCCGACACGGAGTCCTCCCAGAACATACAGAATGTACCCAAGTGCCCTGCGGTGCCCACAGACACAGCAGAGGGGCCCGAGAACTCCAACCAAAGGGAAGGGAGGCCGGAACTTCTCCCAGAGGCTCGTAGGGGCCGGACCGCAGATGCCCTGGGCTCCTCATTTCAGGGCCAGAGGAACAGACGGGGGTGGGCAGCCGGGGTGGGGCAGCTGCCCACGTTCTGCATGGAAGTGGCCTGGACTCAGGGTCAGACCCTGTCCCACTCAGGAGGAGTGGGCGCCAGCACCTACTGCCCGGATTTCCCTTCGGGGCTGCAGGCCTTGCTGGCTCTCAGCACAGGGTGGGGAGGGGACGTGAGGGGGAGCTGTTCCCCAAGAACCGCCCCCAGCAGGTGTCCGAGGCCCCTTCCCAGGGCAGCCCACACCCAAGACAGGCCCTGCAGAGGCCCAGAGGCCCAGTGCCACAGAGGCACTCGAACCCCTCCCGACACCTCCGAACCACCGAAGGCCAACTCCTCCCTCCGCCCAGGGTGGCTCGGCTCTACGCCCGCCCTCCCTTCCCCTCCCCGCCCCTCCCTTCTTCTCCCCTCTGCGGCCCTCAGAGGCACTGGCCCGCAGGTATTACTCGAGACCCATTCTCTCCCCCTCAAGGCCCGCACACCAGGAAGCCACCTGCAGGGGTCTGATGTCATCGAGTTAAGACCAGGCCCTCCACCACTAGGGTCATCGTCCCCTAAGCCCAATGGCCGGCGTCCTGATTAGGAAGGAGAAGGCGACGTGGACACAGGCAACAGACGGGAGAAGACGGCCACTGGAAGGCAGAGGCGGAGGGTGTGGAGAGACGCGGCCGCAAGCCCAGGGCTGTCCGCGGCCACCAGAAAGGGTCCTCCCTGGAGCCTTCAGAGGGGGCCCGGCCCCACACAGACACCTTGAGTTTGAACTTGTGGCCTCCAGAAGCCTCAGAGACTAAATCCCTAGTTTCAAGTCCAGGGCAGGTGGCAGTTGTCAGGGCCGGCCCGGCAGGGACAAGAGGTCAGACGGAAGCCTACTCGCAGCATTCCCGCTCCACGCGTGGCCAGGGTCCCCGCAAGCCTCCGAGGGGGTAATGCTCGGGGGCCGGAGGAACCCACAGTCGGCACACCACCACCGCACGGGTGGGCAGGACAGAGGACAGGCAACGGCTCCCGCCGCCTCGCAGAACAGTCGGCCGCTCAGTCCTCCCCAGGCCCCGGGTTCACCCCCTTCCCACGGGCCATCTCCCCAGCCAGCCAGCAGCGCCCACTCGAGAGCGTGAAACTCTGCTCAGCACTGCACGCAGGAAGTGGTTGCTCCAGTTGGCTGACGGGGGCCGGGCGATGCCAGTCTGCAGGTTTCAACGCGCCGGCCAAGCAGGTGGCTCTGTTTCAACCGCAAAGCGCCAGCCCGGATGCCTGGGCCACGGTGTGCTGGCGCTTCATGTCTGAGCCCCTGTCCCACGGTGAACTAGCCTGCCGGTCATCTCTCCGGCAGGCACAGCCACCCCTCCGCACGCCGTCTGGGAGGGTGACCTCAAAGGGGAAGAAGGGGCCCGCCGTGCTGGTCCCACCGCCAGTGCTGGTGACATCCCACCTGCAGAGACCACGCCGGGCTGCACTCCTCCTCGTGGGCAGCGTGCAGCCTGTGGCAGGGCCTCGGGCACCCTTTGCAGTCCCTGGGCCTGGACATCAAGGAGCAGGGACTTGCATCATTCATGGGCACTTTGGAAAGAGGCGGCAGCACAGAGGCAGCCCCGCCTGGTCACGCACCCGCACACACAGGCGCCCGCGGCACGCTGAGCAGGTGCTTTGCCCAGACGCCGCCTGTGTGCGGAGAAACCCCGCCGCGGACTAACAGGAGTCTCCAGGTTCTAAGCATTTCTCGTTCCTCGGAGCCATTACCACTTGGTTTCTAACACTAAAAAACAAAAAAAAACTACAGGATTTAGCACCTGTTTGTTTCAGAAATACTTGCTAGAAATGCTAAAAACAGATCTGCCAAAAGGCCACCTTTAAAATTAGTCGTGTTTCCCGCCCGGGCAGAGCACGGGAGTGTATTTTTAGTAACCCTCCCACCCCAGGTAGCTGGCAGCCACGCTCCACGCATCATTATTGGCAACTTACTAAGCAGGCGAATGTTATTTTTAGCCCCCAAATAGCTCCAATGAAAGTCATAAACAGGCTTATTTCTTAAGCCAAAGGTTAGAACAAGATATCTAAACACCTCCACGAATCGTGTTACACGCCCAACTTCGGATCTGAGACCGACCTCGGGGTTAAAGGTAATGTGGCGTCGAGTCCTCTCCCTGTTCTGTGCCCTCGGAGCCAGCGCTGGACCCGACACGTGCCCCTGCCTTCCTCCAAAGGCTTTCCCCACTATGCTGCATCAGGGGTTTTTTTTTTAATGTGCTAAGCACCTACTATGTGCCCGAGACTGCACCCCGCAGGGCCTGGGGACCCAGGTCAGGGCCCGAGCACGGCCCCTCTGGGTCTCCCGGGCCATCGGCCGGCACACTGCTCAGCACCCTGGCTCTGGTCTCGCAGCCTCAGCGCCTCCTTCTCCAAACCTGACTTCCCGAGAGTTTTCCTCCGCCCGTCAGCGATGTGGGGCGAGTCAAAGACGCCCGGCCTCGACTGAGGACACAGCTATCAGGAGCTTCCCGAGAGCGCGTGAACCATTTATTTTTAAAGCCACCCGAACAGAGATTGCTCTGACTCCAAAAACAGTTGGAGGACAAAACTAGGTCTCTGCCAAAGCCATTCTTTTTTTTTTCAAGCAGTAAGAAGGCCATATCCATGCGGACGACTTTTGAACAAGCCTCGTCGGAGGAAAGGCAGGAAAACCCTGTCCCCGCAGGACATGGTGGGGGCAGCCTCCGGAGGAGACAAGGCTGAAGCCCGACGTGAAAGGAGAAAAGTGAATGCCAGACTCAGGCAGTCACTCCTGGCAAGCCCTAGAGGGTTTCGCCCCCAGCTTTTCAGAAATGTGCACTAGGTTAAAACACAACAGACACACACACATATGCAGACACACACACCCCCTCCATCCCCCTTCCAGCTCTTTCATGAACTGACACCCCTGCCACAGCTGCCCTGGACCGGTTCACTCAGGGGTGGCATGGGGGCACGCATCTATTTCTTACTACAGTGTTCATGACTTCCCCACCCACTGTGATTGGCATCCTTCACAAAAAGGAAGGAGAAAAGTGAAGTGCTTCCTCCAAAAAGTATGTACCCTCTAAAAACTGGGGGGCGGGGACTGTCGAGTGAGAGCCCTTCCTGAGCCACCAACACCACCCACCCTGGGGGACACCACGGAGCCCTTTCCTCCGGCCTGTCACCTCAGGTCTCCCCTCGTGTGGCTCACGGGAGCAGCGCTCCCCCAGGGGAACCTCCTAACAGCTCTCCTTTCTAAAGAGACCGAAGGCAGCGAGTGGTGTGGGGGGGGCTGCACCTTGGCTTGGGCTTCAGTGAGACAGTGCTCATGACCGAGGTGGGGACGGGACTCCCAGACTCAGCAGCCCTCATGGGCAGAGGCAGGCAGACGGACAGACACACGCACTATAATAGTCGACCCAAACCCAGGTCTGTCAGTCAAGCATCAGACATGCTGGGTTTGGCTGGCGGACGCCACGGACGACGCCACTGTTTCCTCGGGGCCGGAGGTCACAGCACTGGAGCCCAGGCGGCTCCCGAGGCCGCGGGCTGCGCCCCGGAGAGCACTCCCCCTCCTGCCTCTGCGCCCTGGGAACGGCTGTCCTCCACTAGACCCGGCCAGGCATCCGACGAACGGTTCCGGCCTTGCTGGAGCGAAGCCACGTTGGTCATGGAAGAAAGGGGAGATGAGAAAGGGTGTGAGTGCCGAGGGGCCAGGTCTGCTTGTTGTGGGGACCCCACTTGGGCAGGAAACCCCAGGTCCCAATGAACCCTGTGTGCCCAGCGCCGAGCCCCAGAACCCAAGCACTGGGTAGAGACGAAACTCAGAGTGTGACCTGGCCAAAGCAGCCCAGGCCAACAGCCCTATGTTACCGTGTTGGGGGGGGGGGCACCCCGACACGGAGTGGAGCAAGGAGGTGGCCAGAAGCTGAAGCAGCCCAGCACAGGGCAGGTGACAGAAATGTGCTGTCATGGGGCCACTGGCTGCCAGCGTCAAGCCTCATGTCTTCTTGCCAAGTTCACGAGCAAACAGGCACAACCACACTCAACCCCACACACCTGGGACGAGGATCACGTCCCACCACCCACCATAAAAGAAAATGAGTTCTCTGGGGACACGGGGCAGTGAGCATGCAGCTGAGAGACCCTGGTGGCGGCGTGTGCCCTCCCCCGCTGTTCCAGAATGGTCTGCAGTTTTTGTTTGGTTTCTGTCTTTTCTGAAGAGCTGCCTGGTTGAGGAAGTTCACCCTGAACATTTCCTTTCTGAGTGCAAGTCCAAGCAACAGGCACTTTTTGAAGTGCTCTCTGCCCCCACTTCCCCGAACGAAGGGTTGTAGGAACAGCAGGCACAGGACACGCGGCTAACGGGAGACCGCACTCAGACGCAGGGTCTCCAGGGCCCAGTGGGGAGACCCGAGGAAAACGGAGGTGGGGGGGGCAGGGCACCTCACACTGCCATCAGGAGTCGCACAGCAGGACGGAAAAGGGGTTAGGGACTCCCAGCTTCCCTGGCCCCCATTCCTTGCTCCACCCCCACCACCCCTCACACTGCTCACACTGCTGATGCCTCCCGGGCTTTGGGCCACAAAAACCACCGCTCCCAGGCCAGTGCTGAGCCACCCCAGCCTACAGGAGCCTAGCGCCTGAGCTGACCTAAGCGTGAGGCAACTCCAGGCTGGGGCAGCCTGCCTGCTCGCGGTGACCCAGTGCCTGGGCCGCTCACCTCCGAAGTCGGTCACCATATCTTGGGTTTCTTCTCACAGATCTAAGTTACAACGTGGCTGCGCCTGGGCTTGGCCTGGCACTGGGTCACAACTGACTAACTTCTAACTTGACCTAAGGCTGCAGAGGATGTCCCTCCAAGGCTGGCTCTCGCCCTGCCAGAGCAGGGTCGTTCCTGCAGCTTCCACGCAGGCACGGGGGGCGGGCAAGGGGGCCGTGATAACCCTTCTCCGGCACAAAAACTTCCCTGGCTACCCCCGCGCACAGGTGGAAAGGAAGGCCCCCCACTTCCTCCCCAGAGCCCAGGTCGGCGCTCAGACCCTGGCCTCTCCCCGGGGGCTGACTAATCAGCCCTCCCGCCCTCACCCCAAAGGCGCACGAGCAGCGGCCCAGGTTCTTGCCTCCCCGGGAATCTCCAGCCGGGAGCCGAGGCCCCCAATCCGAGCTGGTGTCCGCCAGGCGGCGCCCTTCCAGGAGCCGAAGGGCAGCAGGCGGCTTCTCCCCGGAGCCAGCCACCCCCCGGGGACCGACCCCCGACTCCCTCCGGGCAAAGGCCGCGCCGGGGCCGAGGGGCCTGCGCTCGCACTGGGGTCGATCCTCCTCCATCCGGAAAGTAAAGGTGGGGCGGCCAGGACTCCGCGGCCGACTCCCCACGGGGCCCCGCGGCCGGACCCCAGCCCCAGTCCCACGCCGCGCCCCGCCGCTTACCTTCTCGCCGGTCAGCACGTGCAGCCCCTCGCGCACCTTCGCGAAGGAGCCTTCGCCCAGCTTCCTGCTACCGACCAGGTAGTTGCCCACGCGCTTGTGGTGCTGGAAGTCGCGCAGCCGCTCGCGGGGCACCCCGCTCACCCAGGCCGGCAGGAAACTTCCCTCACAGGCCGCCGCCGGCCGGGCCGCGTCCTCGCCGCCCCCCGCCGCGGGCTCGCCCAGGAGCCCGTCCCCCGCCGCCGCCGGCATCGCGCCGCCGGGCTCCTCCTCCGGCTCCGCTCGGGCTCCGCTCCGGCTCCTCCCGCCGCCGCCGGGCCCGGCCCCGCCGAGCGCGCGCAGACAATAGCGGCCGCCCAGGCGGCGGGGCCCGGGGACCCGCCCCCAACAAGTTCTTCTTCGGAGGGTGGCCGGGCCCCTTGCAGAACGCGGGCCCCGCCTCGGGTCCCGTCCGGGCTGCCGAAGTCAGCGGCCGCGCTCCGGGGCACGGGGAGACGCTCTGGCCCGGGAGGGGCGGCGAGGGCGCGGCTCGGTGCCTGGGTCCCGGATCCCTGCGCTCGGGTCCCCGCTCCCGGCGCCTCTCCTGCCTCCGCCCTGCCTGCTCGGACCGCGCGGGCTCGGGTCCGCTCGCCTGCTCGTCCTAGCTGGGCGCGCGGCGGGCTGCAGGCGCCCTCTGGACGGCGGTAGAAGAAAGCCCCATTCAGTCTGAATTTGCAGAAATTTAATCCGGGCGCGGGCGGCGGGAACAGATGCGAGCTCCGCGGCGCAGCCCGTGCACTTTCAAATCCCTCGTAGCCCCTCCCTCGCCGCGCGCAACAGCCGCGCTCGCCCCTCACTGGAGACGGAGGGCGGGGACGCGGAGCGGCGGACTGGGGGACCCCGCGCGGCCTGGCAGGCGCGCTCCCGGCCGCCGGATTCCGGCCGTCTCCCGCCGCGCCTCCCGCCGGCTTCTGAGCTCGGGCTTTCTGGACCTTTCGGCGGTGAAACACGCCTCCAGCTGCACCCACCCGGGGCAGGAGGGAGGGAGACGCCCGGACCCAGTGTCCAGCGCGGGGCGTGGCGCGCAGCACGGCCCCCTGGACCCTGGTGGGTGGAAAGGGTGGGGGAGGGGCGGGCGGGCGTCAGCCTGGGTTCGCACGCAGATGGGACCGCTTCGTTGCGGGACAAGCCGGCGCGACAACAGTAGGGCAGCGGCGCAGGAGCCCGAACGGTGGCAGCCTCCGCCAGCGCGTCTACACCTTCGCGCCCCGCTGCGGTGCTGCGGGCGGGCGGCGGCGGGCTGAGCGGCCCCGCGCTCCCCGCTCCCGGAGGCTTTTGTTCTGCGCGCCCGGTGACTGTGCTCGCCCCC